GTAATCTGCTTTGCTTTTCAACCTTTTCTCTTGCTTTTCTTGACGGACAGCAGCAGAGCATTGAGAATAAACGTTCAGCACTTTGACGGTCTGTTTCATGTGCTCCTCTGGCTGCTGCTTTTCAATGCTTTTTTTTTTTATGCCTTTCCCCCTTTTTCTGAAGCTGAATAGTCGTGTGCTGGAAGAATAGAGCGTAAAATCCTCCAAAAATGCTGAATTGAATACACGATGGTCAGTATCAGAAGATTGTTTTGTAGCTAGGTCCTGTGTGCTGTTCAGATTAAATCCTATTATGTGATTTCTAGCTGATTTGGGAATCATTTATGTTATTTTGAGGCTTTAATTCCTGCATGATGTCTCTGAGGAGACTGGTAAACATTAGGTGGGAGAGCTAGTCTCCCTCTAATACTATTTTCTGCTTTCGTAGTAATACAGTAAACATAGGGCGGGCACTATAACCTGCCTAGATGAACTGCCAAAGGCAGGTTGAGGCACTGCTGCAAAGATCCCTGTGCTTAGAACACCTCGACACAGCTACAGCACATACCTCGCTCCCTTCGAGCTGTTCCTGGACAGTGGAAGTGGGAAGTGCTACGTCACTGGTCAGCTGTACCTGCTGTGGGAAAGCTTTCAAAAGCCTAGATCATTACATAGCTCATTTGGGCAATATTGTTGATACCGACTTCTACAGAACCTCCCTTCTGTCACCGGTCCAAAGTACAGCAGCTACAAACTAATTTTGAAAGACCTTGTTTTATGCTTGGTTCCTGGGCAAGGCCCAAGGGAAATTTGTGACTCAACACTGAGGCAAGCATGCTCTTATCGGTGTTGTGAAGCTGCTGCGACGGAGATGTCTGCAAGCCTTCCAGAAAACCCCAATTTCAGATGCCATTGCAGGATTTCTGTGCCATTGGGCCCTAGCTACTTGTCTGCAAAGCACCTTGGAACAGAACCTCTGGTTGTATTAGTCTCTCTTGAGGTACTAGGCATCTTACAGCATGTGACGTCACTGTTAACCTTAGCTTTTAAGTCATCTTATGAGTTTTGCAATACATGTCTCAAAAAAAGAGCTTTTTGAACTTTTTTCCTCTCTTTCTACAGGCTGATGAAGACCCTATCATGGGATTCCACCAGATATTTCTATTAAAGAACATCAACGATGCCTGGGTTTGCACCAATGACATGTTCAGGCTAGCATTGCACAACTTTGGCTGAGCTGGCAACCCCGAGGCACCCATGCTTTTTTTTTTTTCCCCCCTCCTCTCCTCTTACTGGTATTATTCACACTCACGGAACATTCCAAATATCATACACAAACCTGCAGCACTGCAGAGCGTGAGCAAGCAAGACCTGTGACCTGCCCTTCTGCTGAGTTTACATTGTCACTAGATGAGTTTCTTGTGCATGATGTTTGGAAGTTAGACTTAGCTGCATTTGACGAGAGAAATTTGTGTTGTACCAGCATGCCTCGGAAAGAATTTATAATGCAAAAGGTTGTTGTTTCTGTACTGACAAGATGCTCTATAACCCAAAGAAATGAAAGAACAGCAGCCTGTACAGCCCAGATATGATTTGTTCAGATGTTCCAATGCTACATTACACAATAAAACCATGAGATTTTCTTAACAGTTTAAATTGTTTTAATGAGTTGGATATGGAGTGTATGGTACCGCTTCCTTTGGGCTCCTCGTGTCTGCCTGGTGAGATGTTGTTTACAAACCTAAAACTCTCAAACTGAAGAGCACTTGATAGCTTTACCAGCGAAGGCAGGTCAGGTGTGCCCTTGGCCATACAGCTTCTTTTTCTCTCCCTCTCAGCAGCTTTTATAACAGAGACTTCTAGCTCAATTTTTAACATTGGCAGGTTAGTTCTCAGCTGTTGTATTTTACCAAGGCAAAAGCCTAAAATAATACCCAAGGGTGACAACAGTCGTGGTACCCTGTAGTTAATCTTCATGACATCTATTATGTTCGCCCTCAAAGCTGAACGGGACAGCTGTATTTTCTTCATGGGCAGACACAGGGGGTGTCAATCCAGCGCTGCCCTCCTGGAGTTTCTCTCCAGCTCTAAAGCCCTGGCCGGATTTGTGCTCCGTGTTGTCCTTCTAGCGTCCCTTCGTTATAACTGGAGCTGGCTGGCAATAAGTACTGCGTTTGCTGCGCAGGTTTTCCCAACGCGGTTGGCTGTCGTGTGTCTTCCACCCTGGAGGTGGCGGTGTTCCACCAGTGAAGGGACTTATTAAATTAATCTTCCCGGCATATGAGATGGCACAGGAGCAGAGTCACGTTCGCTCTGCCTTCAGACCTCGCTAAGCCGTTAGGCCCCAGTCTTCAAGGGATTGGCACGCCTCGCCGAGCTCGCTTTCGAAGCACCTGAACCTGGCATTTCCCTTTTTGAGACTTGTCAGGAAAGCCTGGGATGGGCTGCGCTCAAGGTGGCCGGTTCTCAGATCTGGCCGCTTTGGCGTTTGAATTGGAGCGGAGCCTTCCTGACGTTGGGGCCCTCCTGTTTGGTATTGCAGCATTTTTCGTATATTCCCTGTTTCAAATGTGGGACTGTTCTGTCGCTGCTTCTATGCTATGAAAGTTGCGCTCAGAATTAATCACTCGAAGAGATGAGCTCTTTCAGTGGAAAGAGGCATTTTGTGTGGTCGCTGCTAGGCAAGGATCCCGATACTGTAGCTCCAGGTCTAAATGGAGCCTGGCAGAGGAGGGAGGGTGTAAGAATAGGTCTGGCTTACGAACCTCGCCCTGCAGGAGGATCTAGTCTGCGAGGTCAGGGTCGTCCTTTGAATAACGAGCTCGATACGCCAAGAGAGAGCTTGCTTTAAAAGTCAGGTTCAAGGAACGATACGTGTGGCAGGTGTTAGTTTAAAAGCTATCTAAAATGAGATTCTTTTAGGCCGTTAAAAGTTCAAAGCCGTTATCCTCCGAAATGGGTCGTGCAGATCTTTCTGGGGCTCTTTCCTGCCTGTCTCCGCACAGTCATTTGCTCCTGGTTCCTTACCTGGAGGAGACAAACACCACTGTTTCTAAACCAGTATTGCTTACTATTTTTGACGCCCGCAGGTCACTTTTGAGGCCCGATATAGGCGAACAGATTTGCCGTCTCTCAGCTCTTTGTTTTTCCTACCCGTGTGTACTGCAAGTGATGGGCTGAGCCCCAGCGGTCACCCCCGGAGCCGGGAGGGCTGTGTGGAGAGATGGGGAAAGCCGCCTGCGGTCGGAGGGAAGGCTGGGCAGCCCTGTGGGGTTACCCCCCCCCCCCCCAAAACAACCCCACCGAGCCCCCTCGGGGGGCGG